ACTTGCAATATGCACAAGTGTTTCCTGAACATAAAATTGTAGGGGATAATTTGTTGAAGAATAGTTAAGCCAGTATTGTGAAAACAAAAGTGCTGTGTGCTTCTATGTTCCCTAATTACTGCTTAACTAATTAGCAATTAGGAAGCGCAATATGATATGGAGATATATTCCATTTACTTCCAAATTCTCAAACTCTAGGATCCTGTAAGCCCTCTCTTAAAGAATAAGAAGAATCAAGTAATAACTAATATTGATACTATTGAAATTATGACATGACCAGTTTTCACAGGTTGATAATGCTGTCTGATATTCCCACGTTATTAATATCTTCTAATGATTTGGGTGGAGGGTGATGTGTTTGTGAGAGGTATGAATTAAACTGATGAACCATCAGCAGGATAGGATTACACTTTGATTAGAATGGCATTGTTCAATGGTCACCTGATCTACCTTTGTCCTCCTAATGTGGAGATCACAATACAGATGAATTGTATCAGGAAGGAGTTTTGGAGAGTTATGTGAGAGGATGTGAATGCACTTGAATTTACTTCATAGCACAAGCAAACCGGCATTTGGATAGTCAAAGTCTGATTAGGGAAAGTCAGCATGGATTTGTGCACAGAAGTCAGGTCTGACAAATCTTTTACAGATCTTCGAAGACGTAACCAAGAGGATGGATGAGGGGAGGGCAGTGGATGTTATCTATATGGACTTTAGTAAGGCCTTTGACAAGGTCCCGCATGGCAGGCTAGCCATGAAAGTTAGGTCACATGGGATCCATGGAGAGCTAGCTAATTGGACTCAAAATTTGCTGGATGCTAGGAAGCAGAGGGTGATGGTTGGAGGTTGTTTCTCACACTGGAGGCCTGTGACTCGTGATGTGCCGCAGGGGCTGGTCCTGGGACCTTTGTTATTTGTTATTTACATAAATGATCTAGATGTGAATGTACAAGGCATGATTAGTAAGTTTGCAGACGATACAAAATTAGGAGGTATAGTTGATAGTGAAGAAGCTTATCAAAAATTACAGAGGGATCTTGATCAGATGGGGAAGTGGGCTGAGGATTGGCAAACGCAATTCAATACAGATAAGCATGAGGTGTTGCATTTTGGAAAGTCAAACCAAGATCAGACTTGTACAGTAAATGGTAAGGTCCTGAGGAATGTTGTGGAACAGAGAGATCTAGGAGTACAAGTACGTAGTTCGCTGAAAGTGGCGTCACAGGTAGACAGGGTGGAGAAGAAGGCATTTAGCATGCCGGCCTTCATCAGTTGAGGCATCGAGTATAGGAGTTGGGACGTTATGTTACAGTTGTAGAAGTCATTGAGGTTGCACTTGGAGTATTGTGGACAGTTTTGGTCACCCTGTTATAGGAAAGACATAGTTAAACTGGAAAGTGTGCAAGAAGACTTATGAGGATGTTGCCAGGACTAGTAGGCCTGAGTTACAGGGAGATGTTGGCCAGGATAGGACTTTATTCCTTGGAACATAGGAGAATGAGGGTTAACTTTTATTGAGGTGTATAAAATCATGATGGGCATAGATAGGATGAATGCATATCGTCTTTTTCCCAGGGATGAGGAATTAAAAATTAGAGGGCATAGATTTAACACGAGAGGGCATACATTTAAGAAGGACCCGAGGGGCAACTTCTTCATGCAGAGAGTGATGCGTATATGGAATGGGCTGCCGGAGAAAGTGGTTGAGGCAGGTACAAGAGCAGCATCTAAAAAACATTTGGATAGGTACATGGATGAGAAGGGTTTAGAGGGATATGGACCAAATACGGGCAATTGGAACTAGCTGAGTGGTCATGGACCAGTTTGGGCCAAAGAGCCTGCTTCTATGCTGTAATACTCTGTGACTCTATGGTTTTATGACAACTTGAAGTTGGAGTGCAGGGTATCACGGTGGCATAGTGCCAGAGGCCCAAATTGAATTCAGCATTGGGTGACTGTCTGCACAGAGTTTGCACATTTTCCCCGTATCTTCGTGGGTTTCCACTGAGTGCTGCGGTTTCCTCCCCCAGTCCAAAGATGTTTAGGTTAGGTGGATTAGCCATGGGAAATGTGGGGTTATGGGGATAAGTGGGACTCAGACTCCATGGGCTGAATGGCCTCTTTCTGCACTGTTAGGAATTCTATGATTCTTGTATGAGAAAAGAATGGACAAGGCATTAATGAGCTATGAATTTGGAAAAAATATTTCTTCAAATGTAAAAGTTGTATTTAATTTGGAAAAAGTAATGTTAAGACTTATTCTTTACATGGTTAACAAAATTTTGTGCTCTTGTAGCAGTATTAATTATCTTTGTTCTACACGTTTCACAGAGGGAATCCTTGAGTATTGCTGAAAAAACACATTCTGTCTTTTTGTTTTGATAAAATATCATTTTTCAGCACTGCTTAAATTCTTTACTACCAATCAGCTATTTGTAAACCGAGTTTCCTTTGTGACCATACCTTCAGAGCTTTTAACACCAAATGATACAACTTTTGGTGACGGCATGATTAATAAGTAACTTATCAAAGCAAAACCGCAAAAAGCTATTATTAAAGTGGCCTTTGTGTTTTAGAATTCAGTGCAGTTAGTACAAGTATTTTATGTAATATATGTTGAGATTTCCCTTGTGTGTGTGCCATCAAACAGCCACCTCCTTATATTAGATAACAAGGTGTAGAGCTGGATGAACACAGCAGGCCAAGCAGCATCTGTGTTCATCCAGCTCTACACCTTGTTATCTCAGATTTTCCAGCATCTGCAGTTCCTACTACCTCCTTATATTAGTTCATCATGAATGAAGAGAATAAGGATTAAAATAAGAATTGTTTTTAAACTAAGAAATGTTACCCACTCAATTTTATCCAAGTCACAGTTCAAAAAAAAGATTGACTTGAGTCCGAGACCTAGACTCCAATCAACAACTCTACCAATGACAGCCTAAAAAGCATTAGGATCTGAATTTGCTAATACAGAGTCTAGTGTTCTTTAACCATGCACAGTACACGTCAATGCCTTCACCAGCAGACATATTTGGGAGTTGTAATGATTTTAGGCACTACCTATCTGGCATAGTGGAGGATTAGAGAATGGTTTAACGTGTGAAAATGGACATTGTATGGTTTCATTTACAGGACTTGGTGCAGATCTCTTCCCTAATTTAAGAGGAATAGGGTAAACCTCAACAATTGCGCTTGAAGGGGATGGAAGTGAAAGACATTACTATCTATGATCTTGTCATTGGTATAACGAGTTTCTTTGAAGAACTAGGTTTCCTTATTTCTGACCATGGAGTGTTATTTAAATCTGGACATCAGTCATGAAATCACAAAACTATGGACACATTTTTCCCTTCCCTGTCAGTGTACAAAGGGCAATAACTAGGGAAGTTGACCCTTGAGAGATACTTGCACTATTCTCACCACCTCAGCAATTAATTGCTTGGTGAGAAAGTCCAAAAGGATGCATACTGAAAGCAATCGGCATGGTGTCTTAGTGGTTAGCACTGTTGCCTCACAGCGCCAGGAACCTGGGTTTGATTCCACCCCCGGGCGACTGTCTGTGTGGAGTTTGCACATTCTCCCAGTGTCTGCGTGGGTGTCCTCCGGGTGCTCCAGTTTCCTCCCACAGTCGAAAGATGTGTAGGTTTGACCATGCTAAATTGCTCATAGTGTTTAGGGATGTGTAGATTAGGTGGGTTATAGGGGGATGGATCTGGGTGGGATGCTCTGATGGTCAGTGTGGACTTGTTGGGCTGAAGGGCCTGTTTCCACATTGTAGGGATTCTATGATCAATCCCTCAATTTGCTTCTTAACCCCATGCTGACCTCTCACTGTGATTCCCTACCCCACGACAGCTGAAAGAAAAAGACAGCTTCTTGCAGTTTGATCCCCTGATGACAAAGCCTATAGCAAATGATCTTGAGGACCCAGACCCTGCCAATCTCTGATTAGTTGGCAGCTTCTGAAAACACAGGACTTCAAATGTAGTGGCTTGCAATTTCCCAAGAAGCTCACCAGCCAGCCTTTGAGCTAATTGGAGCTCAGTTCAACGAGTTTCCTTGGTGGGGGTAGTAAATCATTAGCCATTCGTCTTGCACATTCCCACACAGGCTGCACAATGGAAACCCTTGGCTGATGTTTAATGGATAGAAATTGGATTCTTTTGATGACCTGCAGAAATCATCTTATGAAAGCAAATAAAAAATGCCTGAAATGATCAGCAGACCTGGCAGCATTTGTATAGAAAATAGAGTAAACATTTCAGGTTGTGAATGTTTTACCAGTGCTGTGGCTCCACTGTATTTTGCTCTCAATATCTGGTTTTACATGGTTGTGAATAACATAAGATTAACTAAATATTTCCTGTATGCTTTGCTGTGATTTAATTGGGGAGGAGATTCAGTGAGAAAGAGTTGTCAAAGTTTTTCGTACTCTTGGGGTGGCATGATGACTCAGTGGTTAGCACTGCTGCCAGGGACCCAGGTTCAGTTCCACCCTCAGGTGACTGTCTGTGTGGTGTTTGCATATTCTCTCTGTGTCTGCATGGGTTTCTTCTGGGTGCTCTGGTTTCCTCCCATAATCCAAAGATATGCAGTTTAGTGGATTGGCCACACTAAATTGCCCATAGTATCCGGGGATGTGTAGGCAAGGGAAATTAGCTATGCGAAATGCAAGGTTACAGGGATAGGGTAGAGCGTAGGTCTGGGTGGGATGCTGTTTGGAGGGTTGGTGTGGACATGGAGGGTCAAATGGCCTGCTTCCATACTGAAGGGATTCTTTTGTAAAAAAAAGATCTGCATTCATTTCCTGTGATCTCTATTTAAATTGCTTTGTTTTCATGTATCAGAAAGAACAGCACAGTGACAAAATGAGTCAGTTCTGAGTTTAAAAATGCTGTCATTGAATGCCCATAATGCAACGCAACCAAGTTGCATTTTTTCATGCATTAAAATACAAGATACCATTTAATTCTGAGTTTCTTTTGGATTTCTAATAGCCATGTTCTGTGCATCAAAGCAAATCTGGACAAAGAGGAGAAGGACAAAGGAATAAACTAGTAAAGGTAAATTCTTAACAGAAGGTATTGCTATAGATAACCTTTTATTAAGGGGGAATTGCTGCATGTTGAATCGTATTTTGTAACAATGCAGACTGAGAATTCTTTTTCTGTTGCTTGTCATGCAGCTATACTTTTTACATATTGTTTGCTTTCATAATTACAAAAGTGTGACCTTTTAGAAGGGTTAGTTTCAAAGAGTGGATTTCAGTTGCAAGTGAACCAGTTATTAATGCACTGTCTTTTTTAGGGTGTCTTTAGCACAGTACTCCAACTGATAGAGGAAATGACTTTTTATAACAGTAAAATCAACCTAAAATGCTTGAGTGTTGTAATCAAAAATGATCAGCATGACAAAAAGAAACATTGTGATGGTTTACCAAAAACATGACCAAAGAAGTGGGTTTTGTCCTAAGGAGGCAGAGGGAAAGAGATGGAGGAGTTGAGAGAAGAGATGCCATTTTGCTGAGCCAGGTTATGTTGGGGTGGAGGTTTGCAGGGGGAGGGTGGGGTTGCAGGAAGCGTGGAAGATAGGCATTCAATTTAGAAGAAGCCAGAGAGCTTGAGAAATGAAAGATAGGTTTGCAGGGCCAATGGGTATTTACAGACAGAAGAAAGGCTCAGACTGTTAACAGATCACAATGGTGAATAGGATATGGGTTGCAGAGTTTTGGATGAGCTGAAGTTTACGGATATTGATGACAGCAAGGAAAATATTGGATGGACAAAGACATGAGTGTTTCAGTGACGGATGGGCTAAGGCAGGATCGGACCAGAGTGATATTATCAGGGTGAAAATAGGCTATGTTGCAAAGTATTTGAGTTTGCACCCTAGATTGGAATCATATAATCGACCATGGTTGCAAACAACAAGGCAATGGCCAAGAGGTACAAGTGATGAGAAAGCCAGGAGGGGACGTAGAACTAATGCCAATTGACAGTGAGGACCCAACATAATTGTTTCAACCTTCCGGATTTTTAATTGGATGAAGTAATAGCCCATGTAAGACTGGAAGCCTGGCATACACCTTGAAGACACAGAGAAAGTTTGGAATCCAGAAATGAAGTAGAACTAATTGATAAAGGGTGGTGGTGTGCTATTATCGTTAGACTATTAATCCAGAGGCTCAGGAAATGTCCTGGGGTCCCGGGTCGAATCCTGCTATGGTAGATGGTGGAACTTCAATTCAATACAAATCTGGAATTAAGAGCCTAATGATGATCATGAATCTATTGTCGGAAGAACCCATCTGGTTGACTAATGTTCTTTAGGGAAGGAAACTGCCATCCTTACCTGGTCTGGTCTACATGTGACCCCAGATCCACAGCAATGTGGTTGGTTCTTAAACTGCCCTCTGGGCAATTAGCGATGGGTAATAAATGCTGGCCCAGCAAGTGAAGCTCTCAGCCTGTGAATGAATTAATAAAAGATCACAACAGGTATGATAGTTGACCCTCATATTGTGAAAAGTATGTGAGGAAAAGGAGAAAGACGAGGGTAGGTCCTTTGGCGACTGGTAGAGTAATGGTGAGGAGACTGGAAAATAACCCATTTGTGTGCCTACTATCAGCTAATTAAGAGTGGAACCAGATAAGGACAAACTTCTTGAGCAGTGTAGGAGAGGTGTTTAATTGATCTATGATATGACATTTCTGAAGAAGGGTCTAGGCCCGAAACGTCAGCTTTCCTGCTCCTCTGATGCTGCTTGGCCTGCTGTGTTCATCCAGATCTACACCTTGTTATCTCAGATTCTCCAGCATCTGCAGTTCCTACTATCTATGATATTTTGTAGATACTTTTCTGATCGTGCAAATTGCACTGCATCAGAGTACTTACAAGTTGTTGTGTTCTTGCTTACAATTATTACCTGTGGTGTATATTTAAATCTCTGAATATTCTCTTACTAGCAATTAACTATTAATCAACGATTGCTTTAATGGGAAACATTTTAAGATTCCAGGATCTTGCAGAATTTTGTTGTTAAATTTCAAAGATTTACCAACAATTTTGGATCCATGAATCTTTCATATTTTGCATACGGATCCAGTATTATGAGCTAAAATGTGGTTTACTCCACGTAATGTTGAGATCCCTTATTTTAGCCAGCTAAATGGGGGTAAACACCTCATGGATAAAATGTAGATTGGTCCACTTGGTCTCCCTTCAAATCAGGTTGAATTACTGTGTATCACTTAATGCAGTCTAAAGAAATGCTTTTGATGTAATTGCAAATGCATTATACAAAGAAATAAAATCTTGATGTTAAATGAGACCGAATTATAAAACACATAAAGGTGGACAAGATCCCAGGACCTGATCAGGTGTACCCTAGAACTCTATGGGAAGTTAGGGATGTGATTGCTGGGCCCTTTGCTGAGATATTTGTATCATAGGTAGCCACAAGTAAGGTGCTGAAAGACTGGAGGTTGGCTAATGTGGCACCACTATTTAAGAAAGGTGGTAAAGAAAAGCTTGGGAGCTGTAGGCCAGTGAGCCTGACATCAGTGGTGGGCAAGTTGTTGGAGAGAATCCTGAGGGACAGGATTTACATGTATTTGGAAATGCAAGGACTAATTAGGGATAGGCAACATGACTTTGTGCATGGGAAATTGTGTCTCCCTAATTTGATTGAGTTTTTTGGAAGAAGTAACGAATAGCATTGATGAGCGTGTAGTGGTGGACGTGTGGACTTCAGTAAGGCATTCGACAAGGTTCTTCATGGTAGACTGGTTAGCAAGGTTATATCATATCGAATACAGAGACAACTAGCCATTTGGATACAGAACTGGCTCGAAAGTAGAAGGCAGAGGGTAGTGGTGGAGGGCTGCTTTACAGATTGGAGGCCTGTGACCAGAGGTGTGCCACAAAGATTGATGCTGTGTCTGTTACAAAGTGGAGGTTGACACCCTGCCTCTGAAAACTAAAACTGAAACACCCAAAGAGGAGCACCTCGCCCTGTAATCTGTAAAAGGAGTGTGAAAAGTGGTATAACCTGCCTTTCTGAAACTTCTGGTGGTTAAATAAAACAAATCCCTGACACTCACTTTATAATCAGCAAGTGACAATTTATTTATCTAACTCTAACAGCGTACAAATTAACGAAACCATTAACAAACTAAATAAATCCCTTCTAACTACTAACTATTCCCGAATAAAACAAGACTCTAATAGTATGCTGTTCCATTAAATACAAGTACCACTAATATAAAATAAAATTTTAAAAGTAGAATTTTGTTACTCAAAATTATAGCCAGGCTACGTATCTTCCAAAATGCTCTGTGCCTTCTCTGTCAATTCTTCTGTCAGGAATATTCACAAATTGTGTCGTAGGTACCTTTGTTCATTAGATGGTGTTTTCTCTAAGACTTAGATGAGTCTGTGAGAGCCAGTGATTCCCTGCTGAGAGCTGGCAGATGGCAGTTAGCTCTCCTGTCTTTGTCCAACTGCCCTCTTCTTTTATACACTTGATGGCATATCAATTTCTTACATTAGAACCAGGGCGAGGTGCTCATTTTTGGATGTTTTGGTTTTAGTTCTCAGAGGCGGGTGTCAACCTCCACTTTATATTTTTATTCAAGAGAGTCAGGGGTCAGAGCTGAGTATGGTGGCCATCACCAAGGAACAGGCGCTAGTAAAACTGATTGGCCTGAAGGTGGACAAATCACCTGGACCAGATGGACTACACCCCAGAGTTGGAAAGGAGATAGCTGAAGAGATGGTGGAAGCGTTAGTGGTGATCTTTCAGGAATTGCTAGAGTCAGGGAGAGTCCCAGAGGACTGGAAAATTGCTAACGTGACACCCCTGTTTAAAAAGGGAGTAAGGCAAAAGACAAAAAATTACAGGCCGATTAGCCTAACCTTGGTCATGGCTAAGATTTTGGAGTCCATTGTAAAGGATGAGATTTCTGAATATTTGGAAGTGTTTAGTAAAATAGGGCAAAGTCAGCATGGTTTCATCAAGGGGAGGTAATGCCTGACAAATCTGCTAGAATTCTTTGAGGAAGTAACGAGCAGGGTAGACCAAGGAGAGCCAATGGATGTTATCTACCTGGACTTCAAAAAGGCCTTTGAGAAGGTATGCCACACAGGAGGCTGCCGAGCAAGATAAGGGCCCACTGTGTTTGAGGCAAGGTGCTAGCATGGATGGAAGATTGGTTGTCTGGAAGAAAGCAGAGAATGGGGATAAAGGGTCTTTCTCATGAAGTGGTGTTTCGCAAGGTTCAGTGTTGGGACCACAACTTTTCACTTCATACATTAATGATCTAGATGAAGGAACTGTGGGCATTCTGGCTAGGTTTGCAGACGATACAAAGATAGGTGGAGGGGCAGGTAGCATTGAGGAGGCGGGGAAACTGCAGAAGGATTTGGACAGGTTAGGAGAGTGGGCAAAGAAGTGGCAGATGGAGTACAACGTGGGAAAGTGTGAAGTCATGCACTTTGGTAAAAAGAATAAAAGCATGGACTATTTTCTAAATGGGGAGAAAATTCACAAGTCTGAAGTGCAGAGAGACTTGGGAGTTCTAGTCCAGGATTCTCTCAAGGTAAACTTGCAGGTTGAGTCAATAGTCAGGAAGGCAAATGCAATGTTGGCATTTATTTTGAGAACTTTTGAATATAAAAGCAGGGATGTACTACTGAGGCTTTATAAGGCTCTGGTCAGGCCACGTTTGAAGTATTGTGTGCAGTTTCGGGCTCCATATCTCAGGAAGTATGTACTGGCCCTGGAGCGGGTTCAGAGGAGTTTCACGAGAAATGGAAAGCTTAACATATGAGGAACGTTTGAGGACTCTGGGACTATACTCATTGGAGTTTAGAAGGATGAGGGGTTTTCTAACTGAAACTTACAGAACACTGAATGGCCTGGATGGAGTGGATGTTGGGAAGATGCTTCTATTAGTAGGAGAGACTAGGACTCGAGGGCACAGCCTTCGAGTAAAGGGAAGACCTTTTAGAACATAGATAAGGAGAAACTTCTTCAGCAGAGTGGTGAATCTATGGAATTCGC